TGACTCACCCCCTGCAGCCTCCTGTCTGAGATGTGTGTTCGCCATTGGCTACGAAGACGAAACGAAGTCGGCCGCTCGCTGCGGAAGGTGGGACTTGAAGGCCTCCTCGTCCTTGGTCTAGGGTGGGAAAATTACACGGTACGCGGGAGCCCTGGTGTGAACCACCGTCCTCCGCGCTGCCGACAACCAGCTGGGCTTGAAGCGCTACGTAAAGACCAAATCAGACGCATGGGAGCGCTTTTCTTTTATAAAATAAAGCTTATCATTCGGGTCCAAGAAGCACTAGTACGACTGTTGCAGAAGAAACAAATTTGACGGATTTTGGCATCCAAATAACCAAAAAGTTTGTAGAGTAAAGCCTGAAGTGACTTCAGCATTGAGTAAAATAAAGGCTTATTATTAGAATCAATTCTGTAAGGTGAACTAAGGCTTTCAAACTTGGAGGTTGTGACAAACATTCAAGTAACAATTTCATTTAGCACCTAATACGCACAACGCATTCTGCTGGGCTTGGGAGCAGATAGAACCACGGTATCATCTCCCAACTGATTCCTGTGCTAATATGTGGTTTTATTTTGCAGCACAGCATCCACAGTTTGGGTGAAACTTAGGATATTGCTAATTGAGGTAAACTTTTCCCTGATATATTTAGGATTCCACAAAAGTCATTGTAAGTAGCGACTACATGGAGGTTTCACAAAACTAAGGAAAGGACGCAACACTTTGAGGGCCTGCTGTGTGCCAGGCACTTCACATATCTGGTAACTTGTTTAATCCTGAAAACAGTAGAGTGGAAGTTATTCTAAACTGAATTATAATTAAGTATGAGAATGTTAAAATTACCTGTCAAAAGTCAAAAAGCTATTATGCAGTGGAGCAAAGATTAGATTAAAATACAGGTCTGCATCAAAGCCCACATTTTCCACCATGTCTCTTCCATAGGGCTGTTGTAACAATACCACAAACTAGATGGCTTAAACCATAGAAATAAGAATCAGAGGTCCAAGATCAGGGGGTCCGCACTGTTTGTTCCTTCTGAGAACTGTGAGGGAGAAGCAATGTCATGCCTCCCTCAGCTTCTGGTGATGTGCCAGCAATCGCATTCTTGGCTTGTGGCAACTATAGCTCCCAATTCCACATGGGTTCTTCTTGTGCGCGGTCTGTCTCTTCACTTGTCATTCTTTTTATCTGTTCATATTGGATTAGGGGCCCATCCTACTCCACTATGACTTCATCTTAACTAATTACATCTTAAACAACCCTGTCTTCAAATAAGTTTACATTCTGAGGTTCTGGGAGTTAGAACTTTAACAATTTTGGGGACACACTTCTACCCATAATATACTGTATCCTGAAATAACTCCATGCAATTTAAAGAAATGGGACACACACACACACACACACACAGCTAGCCTAAATTGTATGCCGTTGTGATTGCAATCCTGGTATCCAGTGACACACTTGCAGAAGCTGGGGAGGGGTACACTTTTCATAAAACAGTTTCTATCCTGTAACCCGCCCATCCATGAAAAATGCACGATTACCCCCATCAGAAGGGAAATAAAGCTGAAATTAGTAAAATTGGATTATGAGCCTAGTTCCATAGGTAAATAAGGTTTGCTGGGTGTTGGATCACGTGCTTCATCACATTATCTTTTATGCCTCAGACGCCTGGGTATTTGTACCGCAGGGTTCTGAGCTGATTGACGGGTCGCTTCACAGTCAACCTCAAGTTACGAGTCTCTGTCTGTGTGTGTTTATCATATACTACACTTTGAAGAACTCCATATTTATAACTTTATTGAGATCTCTATTCAAATACCACCTTACAGATGTTTCATCATTTATTTTTAAATGGCATACCCCATCACTATCCCTTAACTGTACTGCATTGTCCTCAGAGAACTTATCACCTCTTGACATTATTCGTGTTTGTTTACTGTTTCCTCTACTAGACCGTAAACTCTATAAAAGCAAAAACTTTTAAAAATTTGTTCACTGGTATATCCCCATGACCTAGAAAAGTGCCTGGCACATAATATGCGCCCCCAAACACTGTTGACTAAAGGGTAGATAAAATTTGTATTTGTGCTCATGACTATGTAAATTCCAGAACGGTAACGTCAGGTTTTCTAAATCCTGCTTACCGATTTATCCAGCTACTTGGAAGTCCCCACTTCCGGGAGGGAAGTGCCGACGCCACAGAGCCGGAGCGTCCAAGGACGTCTGACGTCAGCACGTCCCAAGCGCAGCGCCTCAGGCGCACCGATTGGCTGGCGCGGCCAAGGCCGAGGGCGCGATTGGCGGGCGACCGCTAGTCCCGCCCCATCCCTTTATCAGGCCGGTACGCAGTCGAGTGACCTCCGCTCCGTAGTCAAGGGACCTCCGCTCG